AAGATTGTGTGTTTATGTCTATTAGCTTAACTTGTTCATTCATTTGAACACCTGCTGTAGTGTGCCCTCTTAAGTCATTTGCTAGGCAGCTAGGTTGGTGCTAGAATTCCAACTCTGGGGCCAAACAGGAACTATGACAAGTGGAATTAGAAATATATAGTCTTTTTATATGTAGATCCCCCTCCCCACTTTTTTCTCTCCATCATCCATGTATATGTTTATTTTTTTCTATTTACGAATCATCTATCAATGACATACCTGTCATCTACCCATTTCCTATGATATAGCTCTCATCTATCAATACCTAATTTACCAGTAATCTATCATCTATCCGCCACTTGCCATCGGTCTCCTTGTAATACCTCTTGGACTTGATAGTGGTTGCGTTTGTAGTTGAACAGAGGGATGCGCACTGAGTCAGAGGTTGTGACCCAAGTTGATGTTAATGTAGGTTGAATTTCCACTACATCCAACTTTAAATTTTTTGAGGTACTGGAGTTGAACCTAGCTGGAGCCATAAACAGCTAGGCAAGTGCTTTACCTCTGAGCTGTCTCCTCAGCCCCATATAGGGTCCTTTAAACAACTGTACACATTTGTGTCATCCTTGTCTGTATACTCAAATGGTCATGATATCCTGGATGCTTTCTTATCTCCCCCACCCCCTTTTTCTTGTCTTGAGACAGTGTCATGACGTCCTGGTTGACTTAGAACTCTATATGTAGCCTTGCACTTCTGATCTTCCTGCCTCAGTTTCCAAAGTTCTGGGATTAATGATGTATGCTCCCATACCCAGCTTTAGCTTGACTTTTGTAGCATGAACACAAAGATAATAAAAGCATTAAAGAAAATTCATTTAATTATAAAATGTTCACTTGTGCTCAAACCATTAAAATCATTAGACAATACTTTAAAAATGAATAAAGTTAATTTTAAATGCAAATTAATGTTAAAACCATAGACTCATTTAGAATTGCGGCCATTGAGTTAAAACAGTGTCCCTATTGTATATAATTTTAAAACACTAGATAAATTTTAAGTAGTTTCCCTAAAAGTAAATGATAATTATTTGGGGGTGTAAATATGTTTACTGTATTTGAACATTAAATACTGAATACTATATACCAAAGCAGTATTACATGGTACTTCAGTAATACAGTGTTTCTTTTCTTTCCTTTTTTTTAATCAGTTACATTTTTAAGAATGATCCTCCAAATTCAAGTAATAGTAGTTATAACCAGATTTACTGGTCTTTTTAATTTTATTTATTTATTATTTTTGTTTTGGTATAGGTTTTGGTTTTGAAGACAGGGTTTCTCTGTAGCCTTGGCTCCTTCACTGTCCAGGAACTCTCTTTGTAGACAAGGCTGGCCGCCTTGAACTCTCAGAGATCCACCTGTCTCTACCATCACTGCCTGGCCACTCATTTTAATTTTAGATAGAATCAAATGTCTAAAGCCTTACCAATAGTCTGGGGGCTCACTGGAAAGCATGTTTTCACCTTCTTTCTACTTCCAAGTCTAGTTCCTAGTGATTTAGTTCAGGTTATCAGTGGAACCACGTACCCAAAGCAAGCCTTATATAGAATTTCCATAGAACTGCTTCCCTGGGCATTTGGGTACACTGTCATTTTCTATATGATTTAGGGGAAAGAAGGGAGTTTACTTCACAGATATGAAACTGGACAGAGTTGGCTATCAGTTGCAGGTGCTCCTTGCAAGTACCCAAAATACTGACCCCTCTGAGATCCCACTTGCCTACAGTCTAGGACCATGGCCATGCTTCATCTTCATGTATGTAAGGAGGGAAGTAAAAGAAGTGGAGTGCATTCTGGGAATCATGTGTAGAGAATCAAGTAAAACTATCCACTTTGGGCTAGACAGGGCTTGAGTCAAGACTTCTCTACCTTCTGGCTTTGAGATCTCGGATGTATTACTCAACTTCCCATGCCAGTTGCAGCATCACTGAAGTAGGAATGATGCCTTTTCCTTGGGCTTGGGGAAAAATAAACCTAGTGGTATTTCTTATATACCTGGCTCAATGCAGGTGCCTGATGAGTGTTAGTTTCCTTCCCTTTCAGTTGATAAACACTTCCTTTGAGGGTTACATGCAAAAACATTAGATACTCATTAATGGCACTATTCAAGGAAAGTGAAACTTGAAAAGGGATCTTAACTCAGATCTTTTGATGTCACAATAATCACTCGCATTTGTCTTTCTTGCAAATCTGTATTCTGTGTGCAGCGCTGGGTTTATTTATGATGTTTGTGAGTAATTCTCAGTACTGTGAGAATTGACTGAACATAAACACTTTTTCAAGTTTTATGGAAGATGTAAATTATTAAATATTGGTGGTGTGATTTGAGGCCTGAGTGACTGAGGCCTAGAACTGTCCTGGAGGTATAATTTGTGAGTGGAGCCATCAGAGGTGGAAGATAATAAGGATGGATATAATTCTTGGTTAAGATGGTCTGACCTGGTTGGATAGCTCTCACACAGCACAGTGAAAGTGAGGTTTTAGCACTGGCTAAAACACCCCACCTGTCTCCCTCAAAAGCAGAGTGGGGGCTGGGGAGATGGCTTAGTTGGCAGAGAGCCTGCTATTCAAGTATGAGGACCACAGCCTCCACATAACAAACCAGGTGGAATGGCATGCATATGTAATGTCTATATTGAGGCTGGGGAGACAGGTAGATCTCAGAGCTTGCTGGTCAGCCAGTCTAGACAGTTGGTGAGCTCCAAGATTAGTGTGATATCTTGTTTCAAAAAAAGCTGATAGAGGACAACACCCACAGGTGACTTTTGCTCTCCACACGCACATATACACACATGTACACGTACCAGTGCACAGTAGATCAGAATGCCGTGCTGGCTTAATAAGTAATCCTGTCACTCAAACGTGATTCAAACCTTTGGCAAGAACATCTGTGCACATCCCCATGCAGCTGCTCTTACATTCTGGGGGGTGCCAGTGTTTATGTTAGAAACCACAGTTAGCTTTACCCTTCAAAATACTTAGTATTCCTAGAGGCAAGGAGGATTATAATAAAGACTTAAATGGAAAATGTCTTTACCCTGTCACCTAGTCAATCTTATTTGAATGCAAAATCTATTCTACGGCCCGTTTTCATGCCACCTCTGAAGTAGGAAAGATACTTTTGCATATTTAAGCAGTTATTTATAAAATAACAGAAAGAAAAAAATAAGCAACAGAAACTCTATGTAACCTGCCAAGGCTAAATAAAATATTCAGTGTGTGGCAGTTTATAGAACAGGTCACTTATCCTTGTCCTAGAAAGCTAGAGTGATCTTATTAAGCATTCATACTGAAGAGAACAGGGACTTTCCAGGTGTCCTCTGGTTTGTGACAACCACTATGTGTCTGCTTGAGCTAAGCCTAACGGGCATTGTTGAGGACAAATAGAAATGTGTCTCATTATGTGTGCCTTGCCCTCTCTACACTGGGTAATTCTAATGTTGCCCAGGATGTGGAGTCTCAATCTTTCTAAGTATCTCATGCCTGGGTCACCTCCTCCATGTAGTTCCCAGGTGGAAGGTTTATCTTTACAGCTTACAGATGTGGACTGCAGGTGCCTGAGACATGATGGCAACTCCTTCTGCACCCCACCTGAAGCAGGATAGCAGGACAGTTCAGGAAGGGTCCCCGCGAGGGTTTATCTTCCTCTGCTCATGCTGAAGCTGGGAATGAATTTTAGCGTTTAGTAGAATTGGTGCACAAGCAAAGCTTGGAGAGGGGGCAATTGTGGAACTGTAACATATAGATTGAGGCTTTGGGGGGGCCTGAATAATAATGGGCATAGTTTGTGGGAGTGTAATCAAAACCACAAGGGGAGGGAGAGAGCACCCCATGGACTGGGGGCATTTCTATTGCTGGTAGATGAGTATGGGTCACCATTGTGGAAAATGTAATGACCATACTGAGATAGAGTATGGATTCCAGTGGTCACTGAGGAGTCATTCCAGCTGATTAAAAAAAAAAAAAAGAGGGCAGGACTCCCAGGGTAATAGGGGGTCCCTGCCATTCCTGATGATCTGAGTTCCCCAGCAGAAGCAGCATGATGGAAGGAGAGACCTGAGTCCCTCAAGCTGTTCTCTGGGTTCCACATGGTCGCTGTGTGGTGTCTGCCCATCCCCCCACTCAAACCCAATGTCAACAGTGTGTGAGGGTGAGTGTGTGCAGTGATACTCATGAAACTGATGTCAGAGCCATGTACTGCATAACAGTTCAGTCAAAACTGGGCCACCTACATGAGGGTGGCCCCAGTAAACCTATTGATATCACAGTGATTTTTGTTCGTGTTCGTCCACCTGATGATATCTATACATTGAAAAATCATGTCCCTGAATCACATAGCTGTCTTTGGTAAATCTTAACATAGACAGGCATAGGCTGAGAATATTAAAGGGACAACCTCGTTAAATTTTCATAGTTGTGCAAGAGAAGGTCCCACCCACAATTTGAAAATATGTTAATTAGGCATAGAGAGGTTGAGGTAAAGTGCCTAAGAATCTGGTATTATTAACAGGTAGAACCATGCTGGTCTGAGCTGGTGCCTGAGTTTTAAACTCTTTTGCTATTGGAAAGAACTCAGTGGAAGTATCTTAGCAATACAGAAAGAAGGCAAGTGAAAAGGAAACTTATAACCCTCTTTTCCAAAAACAACCGCTCTGGGCGAACGTTCTACCAGACGTCCATCTGGACACACAGCAGTATGTATGTGTTTTTGTATAACTGACGTCACCCAGGCCTGTGAGTTTTATATAAGTTTATATAACGTTTGATATCATTAGTCTAAACTTTTAGACTTTTCTCCCACTCAAAAGTCATCTTCTGATTTTCACAGGTGTACGGTATGCCATTTGATGTGTGTCCTTCCTTCTGCTTCAACTCGCAGGTTCTTGAGGAGTACAGCAATCTATCAGAAGCTTTAAAGATATCCCTTCTAACTCACTATTCTTATGCTTTTCCCTCTCTTTGCAGCATGCCCTCGATGCTGACAATGCAGGGGTCAGCCCAGTAGGAAACTCTTCCAACAGCAGCAGTCACTGGGACCTCGGAAGTGCCTTTTTCTTTGCTGGAACTGTCATCACGACCATAGGTATCTGCTCATTTATTAATGTTATTTTCCCCCTGCAGCCCCTTCTGAGGAATGGTTAGACACAATTTGTCTTCTTAAGATGTGGGACCAGGTTCTCCCAACTTGGTCAAGTGATCACAGCTGTTGTGGCTGCTTTCAGTAAACACGGAAGCATGGCGGAGATTCCACAATGAAAAGCATTTCAACTGGACGAACCCAAATGCCAAGGAAGAGCCTGAAGCTGAGGCTTGCACATGCTCTTGGCAGCTGACCTTTATATAGACCTTCATTACTGCTTTCCTGTGGCAATGTCAGCCTCATTTTATGCATTACTTTTTTATATTTTCAGATACTCAGGTACTTGATAATTATAACAGTATGTAATAACTTTCATGTTCTAGTCATTAGCCAGTGTGCATAGATTCTGATTATGAGGAATGACATTTCCCTTTCCAATCTTTCCCCACCGCACAATTTTGCCTGACACCATCTCTTCAATGTTTGCCTTAAAATGATAAGTGTGGCTTCTACTGTGTGCTTTGTCAGCTTTATGTCATACCCATGAGCTCTTATCTAGTCCACGTAGTGAGTCAGTAGTAAGCTTGTCCAGTATCTCAGTTTCCTTTTGCACCGCTCTGAGCATCACCGGTTCTGTTTAAGAGACAAGAACACGTGATTTATATTTTATTTGTTCACCCCCACCTTCACACTTGCTCTATGTTAAACCTGTGTCAGTGTTGGTGCATCTCCTCTTTTTTTTTATTAGTTTAATAATCATTAGAGGACATTAGTTCCCTGTCCTCAATTGTTTGGCTGGAAATCACCTTCAGAAGTTAAGAGTGGCTCTTGGAGAATCTGGAGGTGAGGGTGCACATCTGTGATTCTAGAATGCAGAGATGGTGGCAAGGGAGACTGTGAGCTGGCTTTAACCTTCTGGGAGGAATTTCTACTCTGATTCTCTCTCATGCCCAGCTACTCCCTTTGAAAACTCTTAACTTTGGTTTAGAGTGTGGGCAGTCAATTTTTTATAGGTGCATGTTTTAGAGGCTAAGGGTTGTTTTAAAGGCATACATTTTAGTCTTTGTGTTATCTAATCTTAAGGTCCATGCTCTTCTACACTAGTGAAATCAAGAATGTTATATGTGAAACAAACATTTAGAATGAAAGAGAGTTGTTATTCTTACTGAGACTTGTATCAGTCGAGGTCTTCAGGGGAGCAGACATGAGAGGGTATGTGCATAGCCATGGGGCAGTGGAATTGGCTTCTGCAACCATGGGCCCAAGACAGGTCCCTTTGGCAGGCTACTAAGCCTTGGAGTGTTTTTGGATTGGTTTAGTTTGAGTTCAAAGGTTTCAGATACAGGGATGTTGATGGTATAACTCTCAGGCTGAGGCTAAAATGTTGAAAATCCACAAGGCCAGTGGAATAAATCCTGGTGACTACAGGCCAGAGAAGTTGAAGGGTAGGAGAAGCAAAATGTATCTGAGCTGTATATGACTATGTAGGAGAAGACACAGGCAGAGAGAGAGAGAGAGAAGAGAGAGAGATAGAGAGAGATTTTTCTACAACTTTCCCTTTTTGTTCTATATAAGCCCTCAGTCAACAATCCTGCCCACATTGAGGATAGATCTTCCACACTTAGTTCATCAATTTACAGGGCAATGCCCTGTGGAAACATCTAGAAAATTTTTTATTGACACATCCAGTAATAATGCTTTGCCAGTTTTCTAGGTATTCATAACCCAGTCAAGTAAACACCTAAAATTAACCAGCAACTCTCTTAATCTAATTAGATGATAAGCTATTTTACTTTGCAATGCTTAAATTCATTAATACCATCTGTTGGTCAGAGTTGCAAGTGGTCATTATACATGTATGTCTGCACCTAGAAGCCTCTGTGACCTTTGGATCAGGTTAGGCCATTGGAATTCACAGACTCACTACACCCAATGGAGAAAAGCATGTAGCCTGGACCCTCAAGCACTATGAACCTCAGCCAACCCAAGGACATTGCAGACATACATCAGATAAGAATGACATAATGTTAGAACGTGTTTGGCATTCTGCTTATTAGAATGAAGAAAGGCATCATGCATTTTTAAAAGGATTTGTAAAATAATTAAAGTTGAGAGCCTTGACCATTTCACAAGGTGTACTTTGGAAAGTACTCTTAAGTGCTAGCATTATATCCATGAGCTACCAGGGATATCACATACCATAGATTGAAAAAACACATATTCATTTCCGTGTTGTATGAAGTTACTAAATTAGAGCTTTGTTTGATTCATTAAAAGGGCAATATCTATTCCATGCTTGGTAGGATTCCAAGTATTGGTAGGATTTTCAGTAAAGCGCTAATGGTATTTATTGACACTTACTTGGTTTTCCAGCCACCCATCATTAAAAAAATATATATGAAAGTTCAACTTTTTCTTAACAGAAGTACATCTAATCTCACTTTTCAAGTCAGGACTCCCACTTTCACACTCATGACCCTTAGCTCTGGAGAAGAATGACATTATCTATACAAAGAAATTCAGTCTGTGGCCAGAGTTACCAGTTCAAAGATGGGCGATGAGAACTTTGGATTTTGCTTAAACTTTGGAGGGAATGTCTTCCTCGTTTTCTTATTGGTGGTAAAGCTGGGCAAAGAGGAATCAAGCCCCTACATTGCTCCTTGTTGTCTTCCCTTGCTAGATTGCTCTGTCTACAGTTGAACTAACACTATTGGAGTAAGGAAAGGACTAGAGGTAAGTGGATCCTGGTCATGTCCTGTGAACTCTGAATGGAGCTATTTTCAAAATACTAAGAAACATATTAAATTTCTTATTTTTTTCCAGAGTCTTTGAGATTTCTCACTGTTTAGGCTTGGGCTAGTCTGCACTGGATTCTATGATCTAAACACTCCTAACCAATGTGCATAGATAGAAGAGAGTTCCAAGATGGGTCATGAATTTCCTTTGACCCCGTGACCAGTGCCTGACTCTTCTGGCCACTATAGCTGCCACCTTTGGGCCACATGAGTTTGATTCAAGTCTCAGGCAGAGCTGCCCTGTTGGATGAGCCTCTGGTTCATGTGTCCTTGTCTTGGCTATTTGAGAGACTGTTCCCTCTGCAGAAAGAGGCTGGCCACTGTGCCTGACCAGTTGTGTATAGGATTGGTACCTTTATTCCAACTCATAAGAGTGTCTACCAACAGGCAACCACTACAAAACAAGTATGCAAACAAAAACAAACAAAAATATAACCCGCCACTCAGAGTCTATAGCAGGCTGGGTTCTTGTTCTATGCAACTTAGAAAATGTCACTTTCCCCTCTCTCTTAACCAAGACATAATGAATTGTAAGTTGAGTACTATTTAGTTGAGTAAATTTAATTCCAGAGTAGAGATTTTTTTTTAAAAAAATTTAATAAAGCCATACAGCTAGAGAAGTTAAAAAAAAAAGTAGCTTGTTGCAATATAAGAAGGATTGAGGTGAGAAAACAAATTGCCAAATTTTAAAAAGAAGCCATGTACTTATGGTAAGTTAATTCCAAGGCTTGCAAGGAGACTTGCAAGTAGTCTCACGGCTGGTCATTCTTCAGCTGTCCCTAAGAAGTTGCCCACTCTCCAGGAGTCAGGGAAGTGGTACCATTATCTTGGGAAGCTTTATCTCATTAACTGTGCAGTCCATTTCTGGTCTGCTTGCTTCAGGTCATATAGTTTGCAGACTAATATTGTTCACATCTCCCTTATTAGCAACACCGGAGCTTCAGATTTCTTGGCAAAGCCGGTCTTTGATGGACCCCTCAGGCTCACTGTCCATAATGTAGTCACATGTTGTGGAAGGATTAAGAAGTTTCTACTTTTGTGACCCTTTTAACATCACAGTGAAAATCTTTATGCAGGAAGTTGGTTATTTCCTTGGAAAAGGTCCAAAGAAGTTGCTCTGTTAAAGGGCGTAGAGTGTTTCAGCACTTGCCAGATCATTTTCCAAAAAGACTGTTATGAGCAGCATGGAGTCATGTGTGTAGGAATGGTCAATACTCTTTTAAAAGAGCCTCTTGTGTGCTGATATATACAGAGATTATGCTCATACCATTAGCCCTCTGAATCTGTGTTTTCATATCATAGAATCAACCAATTGCGGATTGAAAATATTCAAATGAAAAAGATGGTATGCACACTGGACTGTTTTTCCATTTCATCATCCCTTAAACAATACAGTCTAGCAGCAATTTACATAACATTTACATTGCATTGGGTATTGTAAGCAGTTTAGATTATGTGGAAGGAAGTGTTTAGGTTTACATGCAAATTTGGTGTTTATATAAGAGAATGGAATATCCATGAACTCTGTTATCTACAGGGGCTCCTGGAACTAGTCTCCCTATGGGCATCTGGGAACGGTGATGCAGCAAAGTAAACAGTTAGGAAACCTTTCCTAACCAGTAGCCAGACCAGAAGGAAGACTGGTTTGGATCAAAGGTGGCTTGCACCTGTTTATTTCTTCATATCTGATTCTAATAGGAGAAGCCCCCTTTGCCTTTGATTATTGCTTCTGCTGGTAGATCTATAGGAACAAGATTTGTAAGCTGGAGGGTTGATGTTTGCTCCCGTATGCAGATGCTTTTCCACAAAACATAATTTCTAGAAAGGCAGGAAATGATCACATTATTACTAAAGGCAAGAATGAGGCCTGGAAAAGTTAAACAACTTACCCGTTATGTCGAAATAAGTAAGCAGTGGAACCTCGTGTTACCACCAAGTGTCATTTACCAGACCAGCAGGGCTCAGTGCAAAATGGACAACATGGTTTATTATTGAAAAGTCATTTAGAATGTCAACATGGAAGCATCAGAGCAGGACTGTGGGAAGTCCCTTCAGGCTTATAGCTGTCAGGGAAATGACATGGTTGAGGGAAGAATGAAACTCTGGTTCAATCTGATTTAGATAACCAATGCTAGGCCAAGACTTCAAGAGTCTGATACCAGATCATTTACTTTAGCCATATTTAAGCACAGAACAATTTTGGAAAAAAAGTTTTCTGATAACAATTTGCTCAGTCCCAAGTACACAACAAATTTGAAGCATGTTTACATTGCTATTCTTTACAAAGTATATCTGTTTTGTTTTTGTTTTTTCACAAAGGTGGGTATGTTGACGAAGATCGAGCGCCCAAGATTTAGGGTCTAGGGAGTATAATTGAGGAAAACATAATGCCTGTTCATATCAGGATTGGCCTGGGCCTACGTAACATAGAAGTCACCTAGCGGTAAAGTTCAAGTGATATCACTCATTAGGTTGAATTTTATGGACTAAAAGTAATGTTTAAGATTTAGGTTTGGGATAAGCAGAGCATAATTTGTGGGAGATAAGGTCAGAGTCTGGCTCATCAGACGGCAAAGGGTCACCAGGTTGTAAACTAGATCCATTCCCAGCATTCCAGGAGGAAGAGCTAAGTTCCTCATTCCATTGAAGAGATAAACTATTTAACTTCTCCTGGGTTCCCCAGTGCTTATTCTTGTGCAGAAAGACTTCCCATCCCCAATGCAGGACCTTTCTGAGTGTGAGGTCCTGTTTGACTTGCACAGTTCAGTCATGCACCAGAACATCCCTGCTAGCACAGAGGTTGGTCCCACAGTCACAGTGTGGCAAAGATTTGATTTGGCACATAAGCATGTGGAAAGTTCTTTGCATCTCAGGACTGTTTTTAAACATTTGTTTTTTCATTAAGGACTGAGATGCTTTCTATTTATGGGTGATCAGAGCCAAGGCCCATCTGGTTCTCTGTTGTAACAACCTCGCTGTTTCTCAGCATTCTTGCTGGGCTGGCCATCTTTTGTGAAGAGTCAGAAGCAGCTGGTTGGTAGAGGGACTTTTGAACTAACTTTGCTTCCCTTACATCTGGTTCTGATGTGCCAGTTTAGTTCCTGTTGACCAGTTGCTCCTCTAGCAAGTGAGCTCTCTCTATTTCTCAGCCTCAGTGGTGTCTTCTGCCTAAGAGGCACTGTATTTGCCACCCAGCCTCCATGACCGTGAACTCACTCAAGTCATTGAGCTAACACAGTTCAAGGTATACACACACAGACACACAGACACACACAGACACAGCACACACACACAAACACAGCACACACACAGACACACAGACAAACACACAGAAACACAGACACACACACACACAGAGACATACACATGCACACACAAATGCACACACAAATGCACACACAAATGCACACATATTGGTCTACTATATACATACATACATACATGCACACATGATATATTTGAATATTGCCTTATTAACACACTTCTTGGAGAATTTCAATTTTATCTATTGTGGTATTCTGACCTGTGAAATATTAGCCCGTTCTACTACTGCTACCAGCAAGTACTCTTTTTGTTCACATTTCTCTTGGATGTTTCTGATACCATAAGACTTGGAGAGATCCCACAGGTCTAAGGACAGTGGGCTATTTTGAGGTGGATGTGAAACCTCCTTGTTTTTCACTGGTGCTTCTCAGGTAATGCCAGCATGCTCTCTAAACACACTGGAGGACATGTGTAGAGTTTGTCTGGATTAATAAATGCATGTTCAGTAGGCTCAGTGCTTTAGTTTGCCCACATCTGCAATATTTCTTCTGAGATGGACTAAAAGAAAACCTGTATTCCCCAAAATGGGGCTGTTTGTGAGACAGTCAAGCTAAAATTGTTAGTATCTCTATAAGTTTCTAGAATGTTTCCAAGACGCACCTTAAGCTCCTGTAATGTGAAGCCACAGAGACACACTTGTTCTCTTTCTAACATAATCAGTAAGTCAGTGAAAATCGGATTATTCCAGGTGAGTATGCTTGGCCAGATCATTTTGCCCAAGCTCCTGAAAATGTTAGGGAAAAAGTCCCAGGAGTTTTGTTGCACATCTAAGTCAATATGATAGTGAGCAAAAGGAAATAAGATTAGGAAGTCTTGCCTGCACACTCATCTAAGAAATGGAAAGTGCAATTTAAATAATTTGTGGTAAGAGGTTGGAATGATTCTGAACAGAAAATTGTTAAGGAAAACAGCCAAGTGGCTCATCCCCAAGGCAGAATATAAGAGCAAGCTCTGCAGGCCCATGGGAACATGAATGATGGACATCCAAGAGCATAGTTTTCTTTCTTGGCCATGCTGAGAACATTGTTCTTTTCTGTGCTATGTTCTCTAAGCTGTCTCTTGCCATGGACCAATACCTCACTTATTGCATGGATTCAGAAACAAGTCCCACTTGAACTTCCTGAATTGGAGAGAAGGTTAAGTGGCTATTGTAAGAGTGTAATGACAATTGACAAGTAAATGAATATCAATTGCTTGGTATTGTACAATTACAATTGCTATGTAAATCGCACTAATATTATAAGCCTCTTTCTTGCAGTAATACTATTGCCAGCCCCATTTATGTGGAATAAGCCTATCTTAGTTAGGGTTCCTGTGCTGTGAAGAGACACCATGACCACAGCAACTGCTATAAAACAAAAATTTTAATTTGGGCTGGCTTATAGTTTCAGAGGCTTAGTCCATTATCATCACTGTAGTGAGATATTCACTTTGTCTGCACCTGTGGCACTGAACACACCCATTGGGCAGCCATGGTGCTGGAGAGGAGGATCTGAGAGCTCTACATTTGGATCCTCAGGCAGCAGGAAGAGACTTGCCACACTGAGCCTGGCTGGAGCACCTGATACCTCAAAGCCTGTCTCCACTGACATACTTCCTCCAACAAGGTCACACCTATTTCAACAAGGCCACACCTCTTAACAGTGCCAGTCCCTATGGGCATATGGGAGCCATTTTCTTTTTTTCTTTTTCTTTTTTATTTAATTTTATATAACAAAGTCCAATTAAATGAAAACAAACATTTATACACAATATTTGGGAATTTGGGCGTCGTTCTTTCCAAACTACTTCCTGCTGGTAAGGGGCGCTGTCTTGGGGGATTCAAGAAGATTCAGATATCCTAGCTGTAGTCTGTAGGGCTGTTTTGTCCAGCTGTTTGGAATGTAGGATCAGCTTGTACTCTGTTTCAGGAGGTCTGGTGTGATCAAACCACATTAGTCTGGAAGGAATCCACATCTTTTCATTTTCTGTGGAAACAAAATAGAAATACTTTTCCCCAGTAACTTGTTCTTCAACTTAAATTTTGGAGTCAAAGCGTTTTTTTTTTTTTAAATTTATTATTTTACATGTCGATCCCAGTTCCCTCTCCCTCCCTCCCTCCCTCCCCTCCAGCCCTCCCTCCCTCCTTCCCTCCCTTTGCCCTCTCTACCCTCTCCCATGCACTCTAAACACCCTCCCCCTCCCAACCCCCCACCACAATACCATATGTAGGGGAATGCCATCCAGTTGGGGTCATGTAGATCTGACAGGTCCTGTGAAGTAGGGACTAGGGCTTCTCTCCTATCTCTAGAATAAGGCAGTTATCCCTCCATGGGGGATATGTTTGCAAAGTCCTTTTGTGCACCAGGGATACATCCTGGAGGAGCCATTTTCTTTCAAACCACCACAAAGCCCAAAACTCACTATACTTGAATTATTTACATAATTGCAAAACTCTTAAGAATGCAGATGTTCATATTTTCAAACAACTATACAATGTGAAACTCATTTTAATTGACACGACTATAGATAGAATCTTCTGTGTTCAAACATCTATTCTATCCACAAGCATTTATTTAGCTCTGATTGCTCTGGGAGCAAGGGTAATGGGTGGAGATACAATGGACTGTGTGCCATTGCTAGAAAAGAGAGTTGGGCATAGCTGGACGTCACTGTCAGTGAGGGAAAGAGACACAGAGCCTTTGCTTACTCATTTCCCCCCATTACCAGGCTTCCCAGCTTAGGGGAAGAACAAGTCCTTTATCTCTTGTGAGTTTGTCGTAGACCATATTTCCTCTTTAATGCTCAGTGCCTACTACTTTATGAGAGCAGATGTTGAATATGGTGAGTCCAGGCAAAGAGGAAGCCCACAGGACAGTACTGTACTGGCTCATTGTCTACTGCAGCAAAGGTGAAACATGATGAAACATGTTCAATCGTGTCCATGCTGTGTGATACTTCTTTAGAGAAAAGTATCAATTTTCCATCGGAAATGCAATTCAGGCTGACCACACGTTTCTTATGTATTAGGTTCTCAGGAACCTGGAGACTATTTACGGGGAGAGAAGCAAGGGGGCACTGTTTCGAACTGTAAAAGGTTTTGGAGAACATGAATTCTGAGGAATCTTTGGCCAATGCTCTACTTTCTCTGCCAGCTCACGTCTCTCCCTCTTTGTCTCTCTACTCTTTCTCTCCAGGGTATGGGAATATTGCTCCGAGCACTGAAGGAGGCAAAATCTTTTGTATTTTATATGCCATCTTTGGGATCCCGCTCTTTGGTTTCTTATTGGCTGGCATTGGAGACCAACTTGGAACCATCTTTGGCAAAAGCATTGCAAGAGTGGAAAAGGTTTTTCGAGTGAGTACTGCACCAATTTAAACCCCCATTACGGGATCCATTGGCTTTGGCCTAATAGGGTTTAGAAGCCGCAGCGAAGGCTCTGGTCTGAATGAAATAGCTGAATACTATGATTGTGTTTTTATCTCTTGGCCACTGATAGTTGAATAACTTCCTGCCTTTGGTGGTACTTACAGGATCCAAGAAGGTTAAGTACCGATTACCAGCATATGTTTCCCCAAGAGGTCTGGCACACTCAATGTCTTAGTCTGTTTAAGCTGCTATAATGAAAGGTCGACCGCAGGAAGGCGTATAAACAACAGAAACTTACTTCCCACAGGTTGAAGTCTGGGTATATAGGATCAAGGTTCAGGTGCCTGGTGAAGAGCTGTGCCCCCACCCCCTTCAAGGTGGCATTGCCACAGTGTGGTCCAGAGAGAAGAGGTGCCAAGACCTTGTAGTGGATGGGCAGAAAGGGGAAATGGGTTGACATTGCAGGATGACTCTTTTATAAGGGCTTCTACCTCATTGATGAAGGAGGAGCCCCCATGACTTAACCCCTTTTAAGGCCCAACCTTTTAAGATCACATTAGCCTACACCTGTCATTTAAACCATAGCTTACCTTCCCTTAAAGATGGAAAATGATAAGCAGGTTGGATGGTTCGGTGGGTGAAGTCACTGTCTGGACAATTCCTACAAGCTGAGTTCAGTCTCCAGGACCCACATGGTGGAATGAGAGATCCTAGTCTTACAAATCACCTTTGGACCTCCACCTGTGGGCTATATTCTCCGTATGTGTGTGCAAGGGCGTACACACACACACACACACACACACACACACACACACACACACACATGCCAAATGAAAAAGATGGAAGATGGTTTCCTTACTGTTTTTAAAATGATGTAGAGAAATACAAACCCATCTGTTTTATTTTAGACTCCCCTTCACTTGCTTTATTCCTGCAGCATCTCCAAGGGTTCCTGGATTCTAAATTTCTCTGTTTTCTGTTCTATGTTCTATGTTTTGTGTCTCTTGCTATTCTACTGATGGGATTTTTTACCTCTGTAGCAGGCATGTAGGACGGATGTGAGTGGTCTAAGGTTGCCAATGCCCTTTAACTCATACCTATTCATTTGATTTCATAAAACTCATGGTTAGCTTAGCTTTTACTCAGTCTTGATGCCATTCTCAAGCTTTTTGTCCTTCATCAGAGAAGCTTTTCTTATGGTAACTTAACTGTGTGTGTGTGTGTGTGTGTGTGTGTGTGTGTGTGTGTGTGTGTAGACCAGATGTTAATGTCAGGTGTCTACCCTGTTGATCCCCACCTTATTTTTTTTTTTTTTTGATTCAGTGTCTCACTGAATTCAGAGCTCACTGATTTAATTGGGTAGGTCCCGTCTCTGTCCCCTAAGTACTGGGATTATATACGCCCACTACTATGCCAGCTTTCTATGTGGGTGCTGGGATAGTACTGGGGTCCTCATGCCTGTGTGCCAAGCGCTTTGCAGACAAAGCTGTCTCTCCATCCTTTGATGATACAATTTTCCACAGTGACATTTTGAGAACATTTTGGAATCTGTAAGGATATGTGAGTGGTGAGCTGTAAGTCAGTGCACACCCCACCCTTGGAGACAGGGTCTCTCAGAATGTTCCTCAAACCCTGGATTCTGCTTCTTTTCAGCGATGCAGGGGGAGTCTCAAAGGGGAAACATGAGAGGTTTATTAGTGGGCGAGGAGAACAAGATGCCCAGATGAGTCACGGTCACATTCATAAACCCAGCAGTCCCGCAAAGCTGCCTCCATACTCATCTGCCAAAGGCCACAGAGTGCAAATCAACTTTAGAAAGCTTTGGTCATGGCCAAATGAAATAATGGGTGGGCAAGAGCTTGACCCAGGAGCGGAAACACAGAGCTCAGAGCTGCTGTCCCTCCTAAGAAGAGAGTTTGCTGGCAGGCTAGCCACTCACTCAGATTTTGTGTATGCCTGAGTTTTTCTGGAATGTCCCAAAGCCTTTGCTCCCTGGGTGCTGGCTGGCTAGCCAGCCTCATTAGAATGTGCACCTGTCTCTTCAGCGGTCACCATGGAAACCATGGTGCTCAGTTTGTCAAATGTTTAGGTCTTCTTAGCTCAGACACAGAGGCTTTGTCTCCAAAGGGCTGTTTTGAACTCCTCGGAGGCATTTCTTAGCCGTCTGCACATCCCTTTGAGTTAGGGAAAAATAGATGGGGTGACTGAACACTCATAAGAAACAGTAGTGTTCTTGGAGCATTCCCACTGAGAAATGACTGATTCCACATTTCCCCTGTTTTGTAGCTCCTCTGGTTTTGGTTTCCTTGGTCATTAGAAGAAAGGGTTGGATTGCATCTTTCAGATTCCCCTTAGCAGATTTAGTTATTGTATTCTACAAGAGGGGAGAGATTACAATCATTTTATCGCATGCCTATCAAATTTGGAGTGTACTTCTGTAATGCAGCTTAGACTACAAGTGGGAGCATGCTATTCCCCTCTTACGAAGTATTTCCAAAAGGCCCTTCAGTAGATTCTGGAGCCGTGACTGAACATTTACACATATCATTTTTATGCTTGACTCTTTGTACCATCAAAGACAGGGAGTTATGCAGGATGAGACTCCAGGTTTGAGCGAGAACCTACTTCCAAGTGCATTCACATCTGTGAAAGAAAACTAATTACTGCATTACTTTCTCCGGGGTGGGTACTCTTTCTATTCCCTTTAGCTAGAGAGGGATGGCAAACTAAAGCATAATCCATCTAAGCCTCACTGAGTGACCAGTGAGCTTTGAGACTGCTTATGGGGGAGTGCATGAAGGGTTAGGTACAGAAGCGTGAATGACTCAGGGAGCTGCATTACCAAACTCCTATTCTCTAAGGGTGATGACTCACAAAGCTGCACCATGGAGATTCCGCTCTGCCTTTGGGTGGCTAAACTACTGATGAGTCTCCTTCCAAGGGGGTGATCACTGATTATTAAACTCAGCAGGGTCCTCACAAATATTGGGAATTTCATGAGTCTTGTGATGCTCTCTGCTTCCTCCACAAGGCAATGTTTCCAACTAGAGGAAAGAGCCACAAACATATTTTTTTGTGGCTGTAGGATGGTAAGCCCTCTTTCCTTTCTGGTTTTCAAGGAGGACCCTGTCTGAGTTAAGGTTTTTATGCTGTGAAGAGATACCATGACTATGACAACTCTTATAATGAAAGCATTTAATTGGGGTGGCTCAGTTACAGTTTCAGAGGTTCAGTCCATTATCAACATGGTGGGGTATGGTGGCATGCCAGAAGATGTGGTGCTGGCAACATCTTGATGTGCAGGTCACAGGAAGTCAACTGAGATGCTTGGCAGTATCCTGCACATAAGAAACTTTAAAGTTCTCCCCCCACAGTGACACACTTCCCCTAACAAGGCCATATGTACCCCAACAAAGCTACACTTCCTAATAGGCCATTCCCTATGAATTTATGGGGACCAATTACATTCCACATTCCATTCCCTGACCCCCATAAGCTTGTAACAATATCACAATGCAAAATACATTTAGACCAACTTCAAAAAATCCCCATAGTCTATCACAGTCCTCAACAATGTTTAAAAGTCCAAAGTTCAAAGCCTTTTTGAGAGTCATACAATCTTTTAACTGTAATTCCCTATAAAATCAAAATAAAGAAAGCAAGTCACATACTTACAACATATAATGGCACAGGATGTACATTGCCATTCCAAAACATAGGGAAAGAAATACTGGACTAAAGCAAGACTGAAAACCAGTTGTTGTGCAAACTCCAAACACTGCACCTCTACTTCTGATGTCAAAGCGCTCTTCAGATCTTCAATTCCTTCCAGCTTTGTTTGCTGCAGCACACTTCCCTCTCTTGGGCTGGCTCCACTGCCTGTTAGCAGCTTTCCTAGGCAGGTGTCCCACGACACTGACATCTCTAACATCTTGAGTTCTCTAAGGCAATCCAGGTTTCAACTTCACAGCTTCACATAATGGCCTCTCTAGGCTTCCATTCAGGGACACCCCTGGCACATGCCTGACCTCAGTGATTTTTTGGGGGGGGCATGGAGGCAAATTCTATAACCAGTTTCTTCTATCCTAAGCTCTAAAGCCAGAACTATGTGGCCAAAACTGCTGAGTTCTGCTGCTTACTGGGGCTGGAACATAACCCCTCATTTAATTACATTTTCACAAGCTTTCTGTCCTTCACTGTTTAACCTTGGCTGTTCTGAAACTTGCTCTATGGACCAGGCTGCCCTCAAACTCAGAGATCTTCCCACCTCTGCCTTCCCGGTGCTGGGATTAAAGGTGTGCACCACCACCACACCCAGCTCTAAACTTTAGCTCTTTTTCAAAAGTTGGAAATTTAGCTGGGGGAGGGGATCTTGCCCTGAGGTCATCACTCCCTTTATTTCATTTCTCAATCTGTATATCTTCTGAACAAAGAATTCAGCTCTATTCTACTTCCTGGTGTTCCTTTTAACCTCAACATTTTAATTTTTATAATTTACCCTGCTCAGCCTGCTCCTTTTCATGATACATTTTTATTTGGTTATCACTTAAAAAAAAATCCCTTGCCAAGAGAATTAATCCAAAAATTAATCCAAAACTCTTCACTTTAGCCTCAGGTAGACTTTTAGACAAAGGCAAAAGGCAGCTACTTTCTTCACCAAAATATCACCAGAACAATCCCTAGGCAACATACTAAAAATTTTCTCTGAAACCTCTCGAGTGAGCCCCCAACGTTCATATAACTTGGCACCTCTGTCTTCCATGCTCCTCCTAGTATGGGCCACTAAGCAGTGCTCAAACCATTCCACTGCTTTCCTAACTCAAAGTGCCAAAGTCCAAATTCCTCCAAGCAAACACGTGGTCAGGCCCATCTGGTACCAATGTGTCTTAGTTAGGGTTTTGATCGCGTAAAGAGACCCCATGGCCAGGGCATCTCTTATAAAGGAAACATTTAATTGGGGTGGCTTGGTCAGTTTCAGAGGTTCAGTC